ATAATAACGTGTATAAGAGAAATTCTTAAACTTGATAAATTTGTTCCTTAATTTATAATAAAAATTTAAAATACCTTTTGTTATATTGGACATGATTTAACAAAATTTCTGCACTGTAAAAGGAACTAAGTACTCAAATAACAAATTCAAACTACTGTGCGCACAGTATTGTTCTGTTCCTACTGGTGTATGTACCTAATACTGGCGTACCTTAATACTTGTTGCTAATATACTCACACCAATTTACAGTGGAATTGAGAATGAACTTTAGACTTTGAGTCGTGTGCTTGCGTCATCAGAAACTTGATGGGTAATACCATCTCTTCACGAGTGTGCGAACTGGTTCCGCCTTATCATTGACGGCCAAGTAAATTTCTTCAAAAAATGAAAAACAAATAGCTTTGGAATTCAATGATCAAGCACAAAGACAATTGACTTAATGGACGTATAAATTGAACTCTAAAACGTTTAATTCATTATATTACTTTCAGATGAAGGATAATCGCATCACCGAACATGTATACAATTTTATTATAATAAATAGTTCTATAAATAGCAATAAAATTTGTTTAAATATCACATTAAGTTTGAACTGTAGTTAGATACGCGTATCTAGAGTAAACCACAACATTCTAATCAAATACATTGATCTGTCAATGTTGTGTCTCCGCATATTTGTCATAACGCATCATACTTTACATGTTCCTATCAGTAATACTAAACTAAAATTAAATGGGTTTACGTTTACAAGAAATACGACACTGTATTAGAAGAAATATGACGGAGTTTATCATTATTTTTTATTATTCGTATAGTACACTTCGCTGATATCCGCCTCGCGCGCGAGATCAACTTCCTGTTAAAATCAATCGAGAATAATTACTGTATATCATCATTTTATATTTCGAAAAATATATTATGAATCACGTACCGTGAGAAAACTTATACATTTCTTGCGCAACTTGAACCAAATAAAAGACGGCGCATAATGTGCGCTTCATGAGTGGTGTCAGCGCGCAATCAATTGCCGTCCAAATGCATTATTTTCCGCTCACCTTTATGAGACGGAACGTTAATTATATCTGTATCGATTAATTATGTAAATCTACTTTTCGTATTCTTCTTACCTGCATTTAAATAAAAGTCACAAATCACTATTTATATGTCCGCTTTAATTATGATAAGGGAAACTCTATGTATAAGCAGTAATAACTTAATTGAATAAGCTTGTTAATAGTGTGATTACTTCATGAAATACATATATTTATTTACACGTGTAAAATCGAGACAAATTTTCATTTTAATCAATTAAAAAGGTTCATATTATCTTTCGTATCACGTTTTATGGTGTCAGCGCGCAATCAATTGCCGTCCAAATGCATTATTTTCCGCTCACCTTTATGAGACGGAACGTTAATTATATCTGTATCGATTAATTATGTAAATCTACTTTTCGTATTCTTCTTACCTGCATTTAAATAAAAGTCACAAATCACTATTTATATGTCCGCTTTAATTATGATAAGGGAAACTCTATGTATAAGCAGTAATAACTTAATTGAATAAGCTTGTTAATAGTGTGATTACTTCATGAAATACATATATTTATTTACACGTGTAAAATCGAGACAAATTTTCATTTTAATCAATTAAAAAGGTTCATATTATCTTTCGTATCACGTTTTATTCAATCACTTTATAAGGATAGCATGTATTTGTACAAATCATTTGACATAACGGTAAATTAGCAAAAGCTGTTAAAAATTTGTTGACAAGAGATTTATACTTGGATTTTTTAACAGTACACTGCCATATTATAAATAACTTTATTCATCGTAGTAATAGAATTGTTGTTTTGCAATGCCTTTCAATGAGTTACGTATGTAAAACTTAAAAATCAATGTATCATCGCCAAGTATCACAATTAAACTTAAAATCAGATATATGTTCAATCAAAATATTCTACAGACATAACTTATAAAAAAATAACAAAACAGTTTTTAGTACAGATGTTTTTACGTTCATTTTTGTCTTCAAATAATCTACCTAGCTGTAAATATTTTTAAATAGCATTACATATATGAATATAAATAAAGCTACATTGTTTTTAAGAATAAAAAAATAATGCTTCTTGTACATACATAGTACGCGTGTAACGGATGTACCATGCAGCAAAAGCAAGAATCATAAATTGAGGAAAAGCGTTATAAACAAGAGGTTTTCATCCTATTCCTTACGGCTTTCTCTTAATATCTGTTGAACTTTGTCGACTGCAGCCTTGAAATTTTTTGCCAGTTCCGAAGTTTTAAATTTAACTGCTAAATTCTCTAAACTCGATTGCTCCTCAGCATAATTCATGCCTGCCCATACCCAAGCACGATCCGACGAGGATAATTCGCTAAATTGTATCTCAGGAGTAAGCAAGAGATTGCATACTACTTTGTGAACCTGATCTCGTCGCAATAGCAATCTGTAAGTGCCGTGTATCGCATGATGTAAAATTTTCATATCCCCAACGCCTCTTTCTTTCCACTCGCGCGTCGTATTATCGTATCTGTATAATTTAGCTCTTTCACAGAATACTGTAAGAAGAAATAAGTGATCGTTGAAGACACATTCATTTTCTTCCTTTCCTTCAAACGATTAATGTTAATGCATACCTTTTTCTTCATCTTCTTCTCCAGTTCGCACCTCGATGATGTCAGGTAGTGGTACGACAGGATCGAAATGAGGCTCACCTTCGGAATCATTCTCATTTTGCTCGCAATCCTCGTCTTCGTTTTCCTGCCTCTGACCGCTGTTTTCCTTAACTTCTTTTTCTTTTGATACAGATTTGTTGCTAGCTACGTTCGACTTAGACCCAAATACCGGTGCTCCAGCATCAGCGAACGAAAAGTTTGGATCTATCACAAAAATGATTTTAATCAGTCTCTAAACTCCCAATTGTCTGAAAATAGTAATTCACGTAATTTGTCAATTACCTGATTTGAAAGATGCTGGAGAACTTTTGGCTGCTAAAGTTGAGAACGAAACGTCTGTAATTTGGAAATAAGATGTGACGTCAACATCTTTTTCAGTTTCCTTTGACGTCCCTGTTGCCGCTTCAACAGAGTTAGTCGTTGCAGGAGTTGACGTCGTAAATGGTGACGGGGCTGTACTCGCGTTAGAGAATGCGTTGAACGTGAACGGTGTAGACATATTAGGAAATACTGAAGTCTTGAATTCTGTACCCGTGCCGAACGTAATTGTTCCAGTTGTAGTGGTTAACGAGGGAGATGTGGTAGACCCAAAGAGCAGGGTTGAAATTCTGGTGTTCGTAGTTGTCGTCGGTGGAGCATTAAAACTGTTTGAAAATACTGGTTCGGAATCATTTGCACTACCACTGAGGGAGCTAGGCTTCATTATTGCAAGAGGATCTTTTTTTGACGTCCCGCCAAAAATATTTTTTCCCATGTCTACTTTCGATGTTCCAAATATGGACATTGTGGGCGTTGTAGATGTTGCTGCCGCAAATGAAAATGTCGTACCCTGTAAGATAAAATTCTGTTCAGCAGATATTACTAGATATCATTGAACTTTCATCTAAAATTAATTTCTGTCTAACGTACAACTGTAGACCCTGTTGTAATCGAGCCATCTTTTTTGAAAGTAGGATTTAAACTCTGAAGAGTTGTTTGAGGCCATGTATGTTCATTCGCATTATCAATATTTTCCGTTTTTTTCGCAGTATCATTGCCTGAAAGAGAACGCAATGTATCCTCCATATCCTATGATCTGACGAATTAATTAACATGGAATAAAATTGTAAAAAGTATTTGCCACCTTTCCACAACTGTTGATTCCTACTCGTATCGGAGTGAGATCCAAATTTCTCCGTAGTCACGCCAAACGGTGAGCAGACGTTGTATAATGCGGGATCGAAAAGAGAAGCAGTAGTCGTTGAAATCGATGGCTGAGATGTGATAACTTCGCTCGAGCTGACAGATTTCGGAGGAAATTGTGTCGTAGTTGGAAATGATTTTTCGGAGGAACCGTTCGGGAACAATGGCACGCTTGATTCCCTGCAACCTCTACATCCGAGACAATCAGGTTTCTGTTTGTAGGCATAGAAATTTTCTGGTAATTGCAACTTTAACGCGTCTTGTTTCTCCTCGGGCGTAACTTTCATCTCGTATAGAACTTCGATATCTCGCGTTGGGGAATCTTTCACTTCAGTCGCTGTTTCAACGGGCGACACCTTCTTCTTTGATTCATCAATTATATCCTTGAAACTGTTCGCGATGTCGGCCGTTTTGAAACGGCACGCAAAGAGAGTGTGTTCGATTTCGCCGTCGCTGTAATCAGCGGCGTTCCACATCCACGTTTTTTCATCTTTCTGCTTTAATTCCAAGTCAGGAAAGACGAAATGATTCAAGCAAAGTTTCAATATCTGTTCCCGTCTCATTACCAACCTCAGCTTGCCTGTTTCCCTGTGACGTAATAATTTGATATCTCCTAAACCACGTTCCTTCCACTCACAGGTCGATTTATCGTATCTGAACAATTTCGCTCTGTGACTGTAAAGAACTTCCTCGTCTTCTTCACCTGTCTTAATTTCAATCTTGTCTGGTAATGGAATTGCTGGTGGGAAGTAAATATCGTCGCTTTCCTCTACTTCCTCTTCGCTATTTTCTTCGCCACCAGACTTGACTGGAGACGTTTTTGTAGCTAAATTAAACCCAAACGATTTTCCTGGTACTCCAAACACAAACGTGGTCTCCTTGTTGGTTGTCGCATTTTGTGGTACCCCAAAACTAAACTTTGCAGCTGACGTATCCGTTTTAGCAGCATCAGACTTCGCGGTAACGTCGGTAGAAGCAGGAAACCGGAATGAGAACCCACCAGTTGTACCCTGCTTCGAAGCATCCTGCGGGATACCGAACGTTAGCGCAGCGCCGGAAGAGTTCGTACTTATTTGGAAACCATCGATTTTGGGTTTAGGAGGAAGAGATGGATCCTTTGGCGTGTCACAGGCAACGCAATAATTATTTTCAATTGTATTAACTATGTCGCAAGTTTTGCATTTCCACGAACCAGCTGGCTGTTTAAACAATTGTGAAAGAGGTACTTGATTCGAAGGAACTGTAGCTGATTTATTGCTAACGGAAGGACGCACGGCTTCACACGATACGCATTTCACATCCGACCCATTATTTCTTAAGTAGCAAGTACTACATTCCCAAGAATCTGCTGCCGGCTTGAACATTTCAGAAAGAGAAGCCTGAGTCTTACTCGGTTGTGTAACTTGGCTAGATGCAACTTCTGGTTTCTTCACGTTCTCAGCAGTTATACAATCTTTCACCATTTTCTGTTGCATTTCAGTAATCATACTATGAAATTGAATCGCTTGAGTAGCGATCTTAAACGATGCAGCGAACATTCCGGTTAAATTGTCGGCTCCATACTGGATGATCCAGGAAACAACCATGTTGCTATCTTTCTTAACTGGCCGATTAAACTGGGATTTAGCCGAGATGTTGTAATTGTAGCAGATCTTTGAACTAGTTTCGTCTATCATTAATAGGCGTATTTTGTTCGATTTCGAACTCCACAAAATCTTTATCTGCCCAGTGCCTCTGTTCTCCCATTGTTTCATATCGCTGTTATAATATTGGAGATCAATTTTTTCATTGAACAATGTTTCCTCGTGTTCATTTTGTGTGGCGAACTTGCTGGCATCTTGAACGCCCACAATGGTTGAAACAATTGCGGCTGACGCGGGCACGTGAGGTCTCCTAAGCGAAAATTGAGAAACACTCTCGCTGGTAACAGTTACGTTGGCTTGTTGCGAAGACGTGATCGGCGCACTGTAACTGCTAACAGTAGTTGCTGCTGTACTTACAATCCCCGTTTGCAAAGCAGTTGTTGGTTTCCCAAAGGAGAAGTTGAACTGAGATGTGACGATAGCTCCGGAAGTCGTGCTTTTCTGTACTGCAGTTGGAAAACTTTCGGAATTGGTCACGGCGATTGCCTTATTGAAAGTGAAACTAGCAAATGGACTGATATCAGTTTTGGGAGGAGGCTTCACAGGTTCGACGGTAGCTATCTTCTGTACAGTTGGTGTCGATGAAAATGAAAATCCACCAATGACTGTCGTGGTTGTACCAGTTTTCGGTGTAACAATTTCTGTGGGTGTAATTACTCCTGCGGACTGCTTCGGTATTTGTTCTGCTTCTGGTTTTGTTTTTTCCGTCTTCTTAACAGTATTCAATGCAACAATGGTAGACGTTTTGTCACGTGTGGTAGTTTCAGCTATTTTCTCAAGAGACTGAGGAAGATTTGCTTTAGCTTTATCAAAATGTTCCTTGAAAGAGAGGCCTTCCTCAACGGTTTTAAACTTGATAGAAAACATTTCCACCTTAGATTCGCCGTCGGCAAAATCATTCGCAACCCAGAACCATGCCTTCTCGTTATTCGATTTAGCAGTTAATTCCATATCCGGCATGAGATAATGATTCGCGCATACTTTTAATACTTGTTCCCTACGCATAAGTAAACGAACTTTTCCTTCCTCGTTCATGAGCAGTTTCACATTTCCTACACCACGTTCTTTCCATTCATTATCCACAAAACGGTAAAGTTTGGCTCTTGCACAGAACAGTGTCTCTTGGCCCTCTTCACCGGTAGTAACTGCCACTTCTGCGGGTAATGGTATGACGGGGACGAAATCTGGTATGGGATCATGCTCGTGGTCCGATGTGTTCGGAGATCCAATCGAACAAACAGTTGTATCTTGCTTCGGTGTCTCCGTCACGGAAATAGTTGCCGGGGTAGTCGTAATAGTATTCGACAAAGGTGGCAAGTTCACTGTTGTTGGTATAGTGGCTTGCGAAGGCATGGATATCTGATAACAATGCGGTACGGACTGTTCCGTGGCGATCGATGTCGAAGAAGATCCTTGTCTAAACTGTGGCGGAATCGTTACGCTAAGCGTGGGTTGGACGACCGGCGCCGTGGTTGGAAGAGTATCGGAAATAGTGATAGCAACATTGACCGGTGGAACTTTATTGACGGGTGCATCCTTTATCGTCGTCTCTGGCTTGGATGTTTCTATCTTTTGCAGTGGAATTTGCAACGGTTGATTTGCAGGTGGCATAAATAGGCCCTGTTGAAGTATATTCTCAGGCATCTTCGATCTGGTGTTAGCGTTAGCGTTGGGATATAGTACAGGCATCGAATAAACGCTTGGAGGATACAAAGAGGGTATGGAGTTTGGATCGTTGAATGACATTCCAGGATAATATCCTTGGAACGTAGCCGCCGGAGGATATACCAGCTGAGAATAAGGATGCCGAGGTGATTGAAACATATTTCCAGATATCGAGGACGCGGCTCCTGCCTGATTCGCATTGTAGTTCAACTCGTTGTAATCGTCCTCGTTCAAGGGGAACAGGTCTTCCTCTAAATTAGGAACAACAGTGGTAATTGGCTGCGCGCGTTGCTTCTGAAATTCTCTTCGCAGTTCTGCCACTTCCTTCGCCAATTTATCGACCTTTTCCATTACTGATTTATTTAATTCTAGTATAGTCTTGTTTTGTTCAGTTATCGATTGTATCATGCCATCCTTGGAATGGATCATTTGATTCAGCGAACGAATTTGAGCGTCGAGACGTTCAGGACTTGGACGTGCCTCCGAACGATATCGCGACAAATCCAGTAGATCTTGATGCTGAGGTCTGTACGGTGTGCTGGATTGTTTCGGTGTACGATGAGCGTTCTTGTGCGGAGTACTCAACATATTAATAACGGAAGCGTTCAACCCCGTATTTGTAACTGCTTGATCAACAGCGCTATGAGCAGAAGAATAACTCTCATCCGACATCCCGTCGCATTCATTTCTGCTTAAATCACCCCGATTCAAGTCTGGATCAATCTTCTTCAATCTATTTTCGATATCGGTAATATGCGTTGACAGTTCAGAGTTCAAGGGATGTTTCAGATTTGTTCCTGGACTACGTAAACGATCCAGTGTTAGATAAAAGCATTCCCTTGCTTTGGAAAGCATGATTATGTGTTGCGCTCTCATGTCGGACGTTAAACTCTCTTTAGGTATAGTATTGATGATCTCATCTGCGAGTTTCTCATACATCTGGCCTTGTTGAAACGAAGCTTCGGGACACTTTAACGCTTGTAACGCATCTATCGCTTTCTCGTATTGTTTGTTTCGTACGAATCGTTGAGCGAGAAGCAATTTACCTTCTTCCAGAGCTTTATTCAATTCCACGTCGTTCATACTCCTTCCTTGATAATTGAAAAATTTCGAATTAGTTATACGAATAGTTTGATTATTTTGTAATCTCTCGAGGAGAGGTATCGCGGCTGTCCAATACATTTCCGACCGTGCTTCTAAATCTGGTACATCGCTGCTTTCCGGATCTTCTTCTTTCAGCGTCTTCGCTCTGTAATGAAATATTCGTGCCAGATGAACTAACAGAACAGGATGTAATCCGTGATTCCCGAGACAGCGAACAACTTCTAAGCCCCTCTGCAGATGTAATCTTAATTCTCCAAGATCTTCGTCGAGCGGTTTTTGTTTGTCCATACAATACACTTTGTAGGCGTAGGACCACCACTGTTCTTGAGCGCAACTGGCAAGAGTATTCGTAAGGTCCGCTGGCAATGTAGGTAGTTCTTCAGGATTTGAGAGTCCAAAGTGCTGTTCTTCAAGTATTGAAGCACTACAGAAAATAGTGGCATTTAAGAATGCATCGATATCGAGCCGGCTCAAGCCGTCAGGAGCTGCTTGATGTAAATTATAAACAGAGAACTGTAATTCGCAAAACACGCGTGACGTTTGATTCGGATGAGGTTCGTTAGATTTATTTTGTGAACCAGGAGTTCTCAGACCGAGCCAAACTTGATGATGTAGTGAATCTGGCCATACTTCTTCCGATATTTCATCATATCGTTTCAGTTCATTATACGAGCATAAACGCAATGGTGGATTTGTGACTAAAGCATTGACGAAATAAGACTTTGTTCTGCTTTCTTGGTATAATCGACCGATAAAGATTTTTCGATAAACTTGTTCTCGCCACGAACCTACGGAATATTTATCAATCCTATCCAATAGTTTCTTAGTGTTCTCACGAGCATAATCGAGAAGTACATGACCAACTTGACTGCATCTGTATGATCCTTCCCTGTACCATACGTGCACTACATTCTTAAGTTTATCTTTCAAATGCATAATCCATACAGCAGTAGGATCTATAGGCGCAGTGTGTAATGCAGTCAACAAAAGAGGTCCGCACATTCTTCCTGCTTCTGACCAACTGTCTTCTTTTGCTTTAGCTTTTCTCAGAAGTAAACACGCAATGTGAAAATGTAACTGTCCCCACATGTGCAGTAGCATGTGTTCAATGAACGTGGGATTATTAGAAAAGTTTTTTGATTTAAATTCAGACAGGTTTTGATCGAAACTGTAACATAAACGTCGTAATTTACTAATACTGAATTTAACGAAACATGTATATTGTATTAATAATGCTCACTTAAATACTGCTTGAGTGACGTCTATTATGCTTCTTTTCGACAGTGTACCCTGTTCTTTGATACAAAGTGCTGCGCATCTTTCCAAGACGGATATGTAAAATATCCAAAATGTCCACTCTGACCGTTTAGTCTCTTTACACTTTAAAAGCAATTCACTCAGTGCTTGATACCAGACAATATTATTTCTGTAGCTGTGTGTTCCTTCTATATCGATAGCTCGATTATAAGCATCTTCATACCTATGTTTTTCTATATAGTGTTTGAGTAACTTGATTTGTAAATATATGTCTGTTTGTCTTACTGATAGTTCAGCTAAAAAACCAATGTTATAGATATAGAATATTATAGATAAACGTGTCTAAATTATTGAAAATTTAGATACGTACAAGTAATAAGTTTTTCTAGATCATCATAATTCCCATTCGGTTTCTCCAAGTTTAGCATTTTCTCTTTTAATTCAAAGATTACTGGGTGGTGTGGAAATGCTTTGTCAACCCTCTCTATCCAATATTTTATTTTATTCACATCCATATTGATATCCATGACAGATAACAATTCACATACTAAAAAACATTGTAAGGTGTAAAATAACTATTTAATAGACAATAATAGATGTCAAATGGTACCTTTCAGGAGAAGATCATTTTGCTTAGGTTCTAATTCAAGTGATGTTCTATATTGCCTAAAAGCAGCTTCCTTTTGTCCTAAAGCTTCAAAAGCTTGACCTAATAATTTGTGAGCTCCAGCTGACCCATCTCTTACTTCCAAATAACTAGAAACGTACTTTCTTGCAGACTCATAATCTCCAACTTGGTAATACAGCTTTGCAATGTTATAACATCGTACGTTTTTCTATAAAAATACATTTTTATACTTATTAAAATAGAGAGTATATGTAATAATATAAAAATTTCATTTTTTAGAGAAGTATTTATCTTTCACTCGATTTATCGAGTTTAGTGCATGTGCATGTTTGTATCATTTTGCGAGTCAAGGCCTCGGTTGATATACATATAATACGCTTGACGTAAAGTAAAAAGTGCACAATGTGCGTATAAAAAGGGAGGAGATGGTTTAGTAAGCGGAATTGCCGAATAATTCAATATAATTTGTATAGTAGCCCTATTTGAAAGTAGTGAGAAATAACGATTCTCTGTTCAAAAAGTAACCTTACCTCCTCTGGGTTTTTGAGTTTGATAAAAATGTCTTTCACGTGTCGGTCGACGTCCTTCTTCGTTCGGAACATTTCAACAGTGTAATGGTTTCTCCAACAATCACTATAAGAATTAATAATTGATGTTCAATTAAAATTAATATAGAAACACCGTCATGTGATACGAAATCCGTGATAAGACTTGTTCCGCACCACAAAATCGCTTTCAAACGGCCTCAACTCAACGAAATCTCAAGTTGGGTGCTGCCCCCTGAAATAGTTTTTTAAATATTTAAAATACTATATGTTAATGTTTCACACAAAGTAATCTGCCTGCAAGAATTATTTAGATTTTAATACGAAAAATAAACTAACTTGTCAATATTTTATACCCGGTTTGGCACGTAGAACGTAATAAAAATCAATGTTGCACAATGAACTGCAACCAGTATGAAGTTATAAGCGGAGTTCAAAATATTAGAATCAATCAGACAGGTAACCAATATAAAGAACAAATTGTGTAAACAATGTCACTCGTGCACATACATGTAATTATCTCACGCGTCGTGTCGTACACATGAAACAACGTTTACTAATTTTTTATGCTCAGAGATATTAGCAGTTGTTAGTTTCTTTTTCACATAAAATACATGGGCAACAATGTTATAGAAAAAGCAGAATGAATATAAAGAAAATATTGTACAACTGTAGCATACTTGTATTAAAATTAGTCAGAGTCTTCACGTTATTAAGATTATACGTAAATAATTTAATTAGATTCAAATACAAAAATGATGTAAATATATTGTATCACAGTGAAAATTTCTTGGTTGTTTACAAACCTTATGACATGTACATTAACAGTAATAATCCTGAGAAAAAGGTATATATAGGAGCTATTTGCAAATTAACTGTGCTGTTTATTAGTTTGATTAACACGACAATTTTTAGGATACCTTACAAATCGAACTTACAAAAATTTTACCTAATTTAGCCAACCCGAATTTATTTCATGAATTTCACTTTGTACATAGATTGGATTATGTGACAAGTGGTATAATATGTCTTGCATTAAATAAGAAAGCAGCTCAAACTGCTTCTCATGCATTTGAGACAAGGACAGCCAAAAAATTTTATTTAGCATTGCTTCATGGACACATTAATGAACCTTATCTTATTATTGATAAAGCAATTGGTTGGTAATTTAATCAAAAGATGAATGATTTATAGAAATGTTATATATAAATAATGTCATGCTATTAGGAGCTGATGCCAGAGAAAAGGAGGGTAATCATAAAATGTGCATCAGTGACAGCATGTTTTGTGAAAAACCTAGAAAATCATATACAATTCTTATGGTATTAGAAAGAGGTCTTAGAAATGGAAAGCCAGCTACTAAAGTTCTATTATGTCCTGGTACAGGTAGAAGACACCAACTAAGAGTGCACTGTTCATATATTGGTCATACAGTGATAGGAGATTATACATATAGCGAAAAGAAAGATGTAGAACCTTATAGGACATTTTTACATTCCTTCAGGTATACTTGTATGTCGAATATAATAGTGTTTATGTGAATTTTATATCAATATTCATTTTTTTAGGTTGATATTGAATAATGACATTGAAAATTTAGATGTACAGACTAAAGATCCATTTTTAGCATCTGATTCAAGAAATCAATGGTTGCCAACAAATATTGCCAGAGTGTTGGACGAAGATGTATTTTCTGACATTTATAATCTTATGAATCAAGATAAATTTTAAGCTTTTTAGATTTTTATTGTTTCATTCAATTTACTGCCTTGATTCCACACGCTTGAACCTCAAATGGAATAGTTACTTCTGGTACGTTCGATGACAACTTGACAGTGGCATACCTTGAAGAACCATTTCTATACAATTGTATGGAATTAGTTACCATACTTGTCCAGGTTGCTCCTAAAGCTGGTATTTCACTCGAGTTATCATTAAGAACATTGCTACACACTGTCCCTGCTACCTGTGTAATAATCTTTATAATGTACACAACTGAATCAAGAGGCTAAGAATAATTGCTCCCTTTACCTGATTGATACAGACAACACAGATGTTGTACGTCGTACACAACTTGTGTAACTGTTGACCAATTGTTCTCAAACTTTGTGCTCTGTGTGTAGATTCGTCCTGCCAATCCTCAGCTCTGTACGGAGCAGCAATAGAATCTACAATTATCAAACCAATCTTTTTTGCAGACATTAATATTGGAACTCTATGGAGCAAACATGTTTCCAAGTTTTTCTATAAGAACAAACAATTTTGTGTATATTACATTACCAAGTCATGAAAAATTGATTTAAAGGAATCCTATAATAATTACGATGGTTGAAACATGTTCAACGAATATGCAGTCTCCGTTTACTCCAAAATTTTTAATCGTTTCCAATTTCTGTAATAATTCCTGCAATCTTGTCGACGGAAATCCACATTCAGTACATATGTATACAGCACCTGTATAGCCGTTAAGAAAAAACATGCTTGAAATAATGAAGAAAGTATTACTATTTATTGGCGATCTTATAAAGGATTTAATTCGGTAAATACCCGCAGAAAAACCACCTTCTGCTTCGGGTAACTGCACTGTCAAACATAATTGCAAAGCTATTTGCGTTTTCCCTGTACCTGCAGCTCCGTAAATTTGTGTAATCCCGCGGTTAGAGATACCACCTTGAAGGAGCTCGTCGAATTTCGAACAACCAGTTGAAAGGTACTTTTCACGGTTCGTTACTCGTCTCGCACTCTCTAATTTTAAACAACGAAATATCAGTTATTATCCATTTAATGTCATCTATAACAGCGATTCAACTTTAATACCAAAATAGTCTTCCATTATTTTGATTGATCTTGATTTACATCGATTTACATAGTCACCGAGGAGACTGAAAAGACTATTCGAATTGCTCATTCGGGAATCAAAAACGAGAAATAGATGGCGGTTTTATAAAACATTCAAATACAGAAAGTTACAAACTCAAATGTGTATTATTTATACGAGGATGTAAGGAGTGGAATTTTATTAATTGAAAAATATTTTTTTGTGACACACGCACGATTTTCGCTACTTTTCGTACCTATTATGCGCGCCT